GCAGCAGCTGCTGCTGCTGCTGCTTCATCTTTAGTGTCTCCTCTCTGCGGGGAGACACTTCGTCCTCGATAGGCTCCATAGGAAGGAGACCTTCGCTCTCTACCTCGTGAATTGCTGCGAGACTGAGCCACACAAACAAGCAGCAGCTAGCTACAGCTAGCTATCATATTGCTACAGCTAGCTAGCTGCAGCTAGCTACCAGCTAGCTACAGCTAGCTACCAGCTAGATACAGCTAGCTACAGCTAACAAGCAGTGAGCGGCAGCTAGTCACAGCTAGCCAGCAGATAGCTTCAGCTAGCTACAGGCAGCCGCAGCTAGCTACAGCTACCCAACAGCTAGCTACCCAACAGCTAGCAACAGCCAGCAACAGCTAGCTACAGCTAGCTACAGTTAGCCAGCAGCGTAGGGCAGATAAAACGAGATAACTGGAAAAAATATAAAGATAAAACACGAGGAGACAGAAAGGAGACAAAAAGAAACAAAAAAAGAGACAGACGAAGACAAAAGGAGACAAAAAAAAACAACAGGCGATTGAAGGAGACAGCATGGAGACAAAAAAAGACAAAAGGAGACAGCAAAAAGACAAAAGGAGACAGCAAAGAGACAAACAGAGACAAAAGGAGACAGCAGCTTTACTTACTCTATATCGCATGCCTCCCCTAGGAGGTGAAGGAGAGTCTCTGTTGTTTGTTTGCTGCTTGTTTTGCTGCTGAGGAGACACCTTTGCTTTCGTGTTGCTCGCTGCTGCTGCTGCAGCTGCTGTTGATGCTGCAGCAGCAGCTGCTGCTGCTGCTGGCGGCTGCATCGTCTTTGGCGGCGCGGGGGTAGGAGGTGCCCGAACAGCAGCAGCAGCAGCAGCAGCAGCAGGTGCAGCAGCAGCAGCAGATGCTGCAGCAGAAGGTATGTCTAGGCTGTCGGTGTTGAGGCGCTTATGAGGAGATGTCTCCCTCTTAGCTGCTTCCTTGTGGTTGCTGGAGTGTCTCTTCCTCTTGCTGCTGCTGCTGCTGCTGCTGCTGCTGCTGCTGTGATGGTGGTGTCTGTGGTGGCTGCTGCTGCGGTTGCTGCTATGCCGTCTCTTCCTGTGTCTCCTCTCGCTGGACTTGTGCCTGCTGCTGCTGCTGCTGCTGCTGCTGCGGTGGGTGTCTGAGTGGTGCGTGCCTTTCTCTTGTCTCTTGTGTCTTGTAGGAGACAAATGTTTATGTTTTTTGCTTCTGTCTCCTTCTTTATCTTTATATTTATCTCTGTCTCTGTCTCTGTCTCTGTCTCTGTCTCTGTCTTTATCTCTGTCTTTGTCTTTATCTTTCTTCCCGCTCTTGCTGCTGTCTCTGTTGTGCTTGCTGCTGCTGTCTCTTTTATGTTTGCTGCTGCTGTCTCTTCTATGCTTGCTGCTGCTGTCTCTTCTATGCTTGCTGCTGCTGTCTCTCTTATGTTTGCTGCTGCGTTTATCTGTACCTCCTTCTGTCTCCTTTATCTGTAGGCCGTCGGCCCCCTCTCCTTCTTTCAATCCTGCTGTCATCCTCTCCTTTGCTGCTGCTGCTGCTGCTGCTGCTGCTGCAGCTGCTGCTGCTGCTGCTGTTGCTGATCAGGGACTCTCGCGCAGCAATGCGTGCATGCAAAACCCTTGAATCAAAGTCTTTAGGGTTTAGGGTTTAGGGTTTAAGGGTTAGGGTTTGGCAGCATTTAGGGCTTAGGGTTTAGGGTTTAGGGTTTAGGGTTTAGGGTTTAGGGTTTAGACTACTGCAGCAGCAGTAGGAGCAGCAAGCTTCTTAAAAAGTCAAAATGAAACAAAATAAATATAAAAAGGAGACAAACAAAAACAATAAAAAGAATTAAAGAGATAAGGAGACACCCGAACCAACAACAAGGCACTACTACCACTCGCGAGGCCACCTGCTGCTGCTGCTGCTGCTGCTGCTGCTGTTTGCATGCAATTGCTTCTCGTGCTGCTGCTGCAGTATAAACAAGAGGAGACCTTATGCTGGAGATAAATAATAAAAAACAGTTTGTTAAAAGCAAAAAGTGCGGCCTCAGACAATGAGAGAAGCGCAGCAAACTGCAACAACTATACCCCTCTGCTGCTGCTGCTGCTGCTGCTGCTGCTGCTGCTGCTGCTGCTATAATAATCGAGGTGAAGATAAGAGAAAGCCAGTTCAGGTTAAAGTACTCTCGTGAGTTATTAATGCAGCAGCAACCTCCCGCTGCTGCTGCTGCTGCTGCAGCAACTGCAGGGGCAATCGCAGCAACAGCAACAGCAGCAGCAGCAGCTGGATATAGAAGAAGAGAAGCACTATAAAAGTAAAGGCATTAAGTAGTAATGCTAGAGTAAGTTATTACAAAGAGACAAAGAGAAGAAAAAGGAGACAGCAAAGGAGACACAGCAAAGCAATAAACAGAAACACTCGCTGGGGTGTATACGCAGCATAGAGACATTACTGCTGCTGCTGCAGCTGCTGCTGCTGCAGCTGCTGCTTCGGCCCCAGTTGTTGCTTCTGCTGCTGCTGCTGCCACAGTTGGTGCTGCTGCTGCAGCAGCACGGTAGAGCCTCGGTTGCAGCTAACCAGAGCCAGGAGACACTTCCTTTGCTGCTGCATGCATTCATGCATGCAGCAACTGTCTCCTGGGTCTCCTTGCTGCATGCATGCGGTGTATAGGCAACTGCATGTGCCTTCTATATATATATATATATATATATATATATATATTGATGTGTGTATACATATATATATATA